CTCTTAGCCATGATTTATAGAGGACTGGATTTCTCAATAATAATAATAATAATAGAAAACCTTTGTACTCTCATCAGCCATAAATTAGCACCTGTTTCTTACTTTACTTTTTTCTTTTTAATTGTACTTCATAGAATTTTTTGGAGGAGGGTCAGGGGTAATTCAGATGAGTGGTTTGCTATCCAAGTTTTATGGAACTTTTAGATCTAACTTTGTTTCAAATCAACATTTTTTAAAATCTTCCCACATTCATAAACAGATGATCCTTGAAACTTAATTTTTGCTTTGAACTACTCGCCAGGAAAGCAAAATATCTAAAACCCAGGAACAATACTTACTGATTTTAAGACTTGTTACAATGTTTTAATATATATTATGCTCTGGCTGTTCTACTTAACCAGAAAATACTAAACTAAGTACTGAGTAACACTAGGAAGAAAAAAGTTAAGACATTATTTGTGAAATTGCATTACCATGGTAGTTTAAAACATTTTATATATATCATCAACTATTAGCAGTATCTTCTATGTAAACAGCACAAGTTTGAATACAAAAAAGACTCATACTTCTAAATCTTTCTCACAAGCACAGCTCATATTTATTAGACAACCATTCTCTCTCCAGAAATCCAGCAAGCCCTTCCAGGTTTCTCTGCAAAAAACTCAGCCCACTAGCTTTATGACTGCTATGTGTGTTTTTTGGGTTTTTATATATATATATATATAAACATACATATACATATATATGTGTGTGTGTGTGTGTGTGTTTGTGTATATATATAAGTTGATTAGTAAAAGATATGTCTCTCCTTGCTTATAAACAAATGCTATAGGATATTTTCCTTCTCTACAGGATATCTCTCTAGGATATTTTCCTTCCATCATGATTGAAAGATAACCTCATCTTTTAAGTCTTGCAATTTTTCTATTTCAGTTCTCAATTTGGACCAAAGCAATGTTTTTCTCACATATTCCACAAAAAGTCTGGGCCATTTTTTCCACATCGTCTTTTCAAGAGAGAACATCCCTTCCCAAGCCAACACATAATTTAACAAAAAACAGCTGTAAACTGATTTATTTACAGGTAAATTACATACCTCAAATTATTAGATGTAGATTAGCATAGCTGTCTTTAAAATATCCCCAGAGCTAGAAGTGTATTGCCCCCACCCCTACAAAAAAACACTGAAGTCCTGCGTTTCCCCCAAAAGTCAAAGACCTATCTAAAGCCTATCCACAAGAAAGTCAATGAATTATTCCCTAATTTCCGTCCAGGATCCAAAATGCCTAGTTGCTCTGGTGGCTTCTTTCTGCTATACAGCAGGAACAGGGCTTATTTTCCATTGATTTGCTCATCCCTAAGGCCAGTTTCATTTAGTTCTGCAGCCCCAAAGAGACTGACCAGCACAGAGTGCTACAAGAATATCCCCATCACCACTTGGATAAAATCTTTGACAGTTTGGCAAAAATCCCAACAGTGAGTTATAGCCAGAGAGGCCAGCCCGGGCTCAGGAGCAACAAAGGTTAGGAACACAGGAGTCAGCATCAGTGAGGCTACCTCATCACTGGCAGTTCTCAAGAACGGTGATGTGTCTCTAACAGCCAGAAGCAGTTCAGGTAAAGTCAATCCCACCTTCAAGACATATAGTTGATCTGCCAAGGTCTCTTCCAGCATTTTTTTTCGACTCAGAATAGTTGAGCAAAGCCATTACATCTTTGCAGAATCAGGGCCTTGAGAATTTTTTGCATCTGCAGCAATACTCCCTGAGAAGTAACAGATTTTAATTAATACTATGGTGCTTGCTTGCACTGAAACTCAGGAGTATTATCATTTTTTTATAATATACATATTAGACATCTTCTTACTTGTTAGAAGCTAAGCATGTTCTAGCACTCTCTGCTTTACTACCCACAGCCTGCCAAAATTCTTGAGGTTCTCCTAATTACTCTATCTTCTTATAAGATAGTACAATCATGCATTTCAGACTTTCTTTCTCTGGTTTCTGCTAAGTGTGCATTTATACTGATGTCGGTTTCTCTGCCACTTAAACTATAGCTACAAAAACATTAAGCTTTCAAAAATGGGGCTTTAAAGCCAGAGAGGTTATTTAATATAATTTAAAAAAATTTTTTTGAAGTAAACTATCTTGCTACCATCAATAGGAGACTTCTGTTTTTTAAGTGGGATCAAGTTTCCAGGGAAAAAAACTTGCTGAAAACTGACAAAAAATAAAATTATTGTGAATGAGTTTGTTGAAAGAAAAACATACTCTGTGAACTGAGTCTGGAGCTCCTCCTGCTGTTCAAGCCACAAAACTGAACTAATGTCCGCAGACGGCTGCAGAAACAGTGAAAACAGACAACTGATTTGACATGAAATGTCCTTGGAATTCAACAGTCCAAATAGATGCGAACGCTCCATATTCCTCAAATTATCTGAATATATATTCAGAACTTCATCTCTTAAAACTAATCTTAAGTTATTTGACAAAAGCATCTTGCCTTAATACTGTTCTAGTACAGAATAAATACTTAAGTTTGACAAGATGTAATTCTACAGAATAAGCCATGAGTTTCAGTTCTGCTTGAGACAAAATAATGCAAGTGATCAAAATCCGGAGAGTGAAGAAAGAAGTAAAAATATCACACCAGGATTATTTTGTCTAATGCTTGCTTATGTTTTCAAAAGGGCAAAATAAACACTAAGTTCCTCACTGATATAGTGTGTAAGTAGTAAGGCAAAAATGTGGAAAGAGTAAAAAGGCAATTCTCTGTATGCTGGAACATTTAAACACAATCCTCAAAAAAACTTTTTCATACAAAGCTTAGGGATACACAAGACTGAACCAGTGCAGCTCACAGGTAACTAGCCCAATCAAGACAACAGCGTTCTATGCTGCTCAACCTACATCCAGAGACCTTTCTCCAGCCCTGAGGACAAGCAGCAAGTGTTGGCAGTGGCCACCTACACCGTACACTGCCCTATGTCTGCTCCATGTCCCAAGGCAGCACCAGTTTCTTTGGTCATTTTTTCCGTTCCAAAAGCCTGCCATAACAAGGCACTGACTGCTGGTCAGTGGCGGTGTCATGATACCGCCTCATACAGACTCCTGGTGTTAGTCCCTGGTGCATGCTACTTCCAAAACTGTGCCTGCTAGGATGTCTTGGATGTCAGGGTTTTCTTCGGTGGGGAGTACAAGAAACTATCAGGATCAAATTAATAATTAAACACTGCAGATGACCAGCAGTCCAATACCAGAGCACCTCCCTGTTCCTCTCCTATATAGCAATACGGATGCAGTATTCACACTCAAAACTAACAACATTAATAAACAACATGAACTAGGTTGAAAGAATTATCAGGGAAAAAAAAAAAACAGATACACTGGAGCAAGTCCACTGAAGGCCCATGAAGATGATTAAGGAGCACCTGACATATGAGGAGAGGATGACAGAGGTGTGTTTGTTTAACCTGGAAAAGAGCAGGTGAGGTGGGGTGGATCTTACAAAAACAAAATAGATCATTTTTACTGTTTCCCACCTCCCCTAGCCTTATAGACCAGTAATTCCAAGTAAACAAAATAAAAAAGATTTTTTTTTTTTGGGAGTTCTCAAATGCTGGCAACAGGTTGTCCAGGGAGATGGTGGGGTCTCCATCCTTGGAGATATTCAGAATCTGACTAGACATGGCCCTGGGCAACCAGGTCTACCCGATCCGGCTTAAGCAGCAGAGTGGACTAGATGACCTCCACAGGTCACAGAATCACAGAATGGCCAAGGTTGTTGTCAGGACCCTGCCCAGGTGGGCTTTGAGTATCTCCAAGGATGGAGACTCCTCTCTGGGCAACCTGTTCCGGTGCTCTGTCACCCCCACAGGAAAAATGTTTTTCCTTATGTTCAGATGGAGCTTCTGTGTTTCTGTTTGTGCCCATTGCCTCCCATGCTGTCACTAGGCAGCACTGAAAAGAGTCTGTCCCCATCCTCTTTACATCCTCCCTTCAGAAATTTATATGCACTGATCAGATCCCTGCTATGCTCCCAGCACACGAATGGTGCTACACACACATAGATCAACTGCTATCCTGGCATGCAGCATCTTAAGAGAAATCCAGCATGAGAGAGGCTGCTCCTAAAACCATTGTCTCAGTGTCAATGCACAAGAAAGCAGTGAAACGGCCAGGCCAACTGCTGGCATGGCTTCCATAATACCATGCTTATACCTTTATACATTTCTGATGCAAGGCAAACTTCTTTAATCAGACACTTCCAGTCTAGGTTTGTTTAAAAAACAAAAAGCTACAAATCTGCAGTGAAGGCAAGATTCCCCAACCTCTTGTGAGAAAAAAACAGTTTTAAAGTATCTTTTACAATCCAGACCAAAAAGGTCACCACTGCTGATCTAATAAAGGCAACACGCAGGGCTCATGACTCTCACAGTTGGTATCTCATTATGTGCAACATTCTTGAGCACTGTCGAAGTCTGTGTTGTTGTGGCTCTACCCCCAGCCTTTGCAGAACAGATGGGAATGTATTCCACCCAGTGAAACAAGGAAAGTCTACTCAAGAAGTTTCCCTTTCAAGTTTGCGACAGGGAATGAAAGTTCAGTAAGAAGCAACATAGAGTAATAAGAGGAGCTGGACTGTATTCAAGTAACGAAGATTTATTTCTAAACATTACTGCAGTTCAGCTAAGAGCTAAAAGCAAAATTAGAATGAAGATTTTGTAGCTATTCTGAAACTGTTTCATCCTCTTATATCTTCAAAGAGGACACACTGTTTCAGTGTAAAACAGAAGAACCAAAAACTTTTACAAGCATTCCAGCAGTGACTAAGAAATGTTACACACTAGTGCCCCTCCAGATATTCTTTTATTTTTTCTTCATTGAAATACATCTTTAGAGAAGAAAAAACTGTTTACATTGAGGACTTTCATTATCCTTATTGTGAGAGATGAAATAAAGACACTCATTTACATTACAATAACCAACATAAGGAGCTTACCTCTCAGCTCGCAGGACACCACTGTAATAAGGGTGATCCCACGGCATCAGTTTCTGAAAGAGAATTCCATTTTACAATTGCAGTAACAGACAGCAAGTGAACCCTAAGCAAATGAAGCAAACATTTTTTTTTAGCATATACTGAAGCTTATACAAGCTGCAGAACTTGAAGACCTAATAGGAAACATTCAGTGCTAAATACATCATCATCAGAAATAGCATCACATGCCACAACTTTAATCCTCTGTTTTAATGTCTATTTGAAGATGGCCTTTCCTATTCAAATACATATGGGACGACATATCAGATTTCAAGAAATACACAATCAAAATAAAGAGACAAGCATAATTACAAATGGCATTAAGATGTATGCAAGATGGCATGCAAACTAGACATACACCTATTTAGTACCTCCTTCATTTTTCAGTGAGTCCATCAATTAATTCAAATCAAAGTAACATTCACTTTCACCACTTTAGGTTTTGGCTAGCACAGTATCAGCTATCTCACACTCAGTGTTTCGCTTTAATGCTAATACAACCTTAGAAATCAAAAAGCATTTGAAGACAGAAGATGGAAAGTTTCTCTCTGTTATTATACTATATGTTGTATATTAAAGTTGAGTTATTTTTCATGTATACCATTGCTAACTTACACTTTATATATACAAAAAAAAAAGCCAGAAAATCACACATGAACACTTAACTTACAGAATTTTGGGGTTTAAGCTTCATTTTCATCTTCGTCATCATTTCGAAATCTTTTTGTGTTCTGAAAAATATTTTTATGATGAAAGTGTTCATTAAAGTTTTTTTGAACAATGGAGTATGGCATGCGAGAATGCTCTCTCATAAGAAAGTAAGAATCAGCAGAGAGAGTTTGAACTCTGTGATATTACAGGCTCATAGATCACAATAAAAGCACTTTCTATTCAGCTTCTCTCATTCAGGTGCCTCCAAATCAAGCCCCACTTACATTCGTCATGCACTTCCAAAGCACTTTTTCTTGCAATACACCCAGCCATATTCAGCAACGAAACTCTTTGTGCTGTGTGGAATGAAGGGAAGCAAATGGGAGAAGCAGGAAATTTTTTCATAGATGTGAAATATATGGAAGTATGCATATGCGATATGACCTGGAAAGGTGCATTAGAACTTAAAGTTTTCCTCTTTGCTGTCACCAGCATTTCTTTATATATCACTTGTTGACTTCATTCTCAGGTGTTCTCTGCTCATAACCACCAATTTTATTTTTGACTGATAGTTCCTCTCAAAACTCAGTCTTACTTTTTAGCTCTGCTTTCCATCAGAGAACATAATATGCAGTTCTGACTTACTTATTAGTGAACAAGTCCATTTTTGAAAAAAAAAAGTGTATTTAGAAAAATTATTTAGTGGAAAAGACACACCTTTGAGACAATTGGTCAGAAAGCTTCTCCAGAAACTGTGTTACTGTCTCTAGAAATAAAATGGAAAGGAAAAAAAAAAGTGATTCCTTTCTTCAAAAGGTGTTAGTTTACATAAAACATCCCCAGCAAATTGAGATCTCTTAGAACAAGAGATATTAACTGATCTGTTGACCACTGTGCTATCACACAAGAGAATATGCAAGTACTTTGACAGATGTTGGGATAACAGCAATTTCATAGTGTAAGGATTGAACATTGATTCTGGATAAAAAGAGCTTAGCCTCTACCCAGCTAGTACTGCTGTTTACAGAAAACACAATTATTTTTGTAGCAAAACATAACTAGCAATAAGATATTTCACCAGAAGAATGACATTCTGTAAATTTGGTAGAACAGACTAAGACTTACTACCCCCATGCCTAACAGAGGGCATTTCATTTCTCAGCATATCCTACCACACGGCATCTACCTGGATTTTTGGCCATTGTTCCTTGAAGAGCCCTGTGGGCAAAGGTGCTGTATCCAACCAGCTGTGCCAGACTGTTTCGACTAGCAAGTAGTTCTTCTAAACGACTCAACTGCTCAGCATTTGGGTAAAGAAAAATCTTGTAAGCAGCTTCTCGCACCTAAAGGAAGAAATAGAAAGATCACATTACTACAGCTAATTCACACAGGAATAAAGCATCAATAAAATATCTCACATTACAGCTGTATTTCACTGATATTGTTAAGAAAATGGCTAAAACGTTTCTTAATAATGCTAATTATTACCGCCTGCCAATTATCACTTTCTTTTCCCTTACAAAGGGAGTGAGGAAATGCAGCGAGACAACCTAACCATTCCAGACTACCCAAGGGGCCTACTCCCTCCTCCTGTCTGCACCGCATCTCTCTGATACCTGTCACTATCCTTGTGCCAACATCTGTGGTTCCCAGACCATTCTAGTGCTGCTTTAACTCACTAAGATTACAAAATAAATACAGAAGAAAGTCAAATTGTTTTTTGCAGTATATGTATTTTGCAAATCGGTCAAAAATAATCTTTATTTTTTACACTCTGAATAGGCTTAAGAAATCAAGCAACAACTTAAATTTGCTATCTTTGCAGCAAGTGTTCCTCCTGGATCGTATACTCAAGAGGAATGCAAGTCCTGGGTTTAAAAAAAGAAATCATTGTCATTTCCTACCTGTTCTCTGCAACTGGGTTTTGAGATAAAAATAAAAGCACATACAGTAAGTCAGGTAGAGATATCCACTCCTCTTCCTTGAACAAAATTCAGAAGTGTGTCTTTGGAGCAAGGGCCAACAGCCTATTGAGCTCTATGAACTAGAGTATAGGTACTGGACTCAGTATTAACTGTGCTGTGCCAATGAGTGCTGAGTACATGGGGATGATCACTTCCCCATATTTATTAGTTATGCTCTGGCTCTTATAGCTCAGGATGCTATTGGCCTTTGATGCCAAGACACCCTGTTGGCTCCTACTCATCTCTTACTATCTACCAAATCTCCAGGGACTTTTCTGTAGAGCTGCTCCTCAGCCAGGCAGTTCCCAGCCTCTACTGTCAGGGGTTCTTTCCCAGGTGCAGGACTTTGCACATGTCCATCTTGAATTTCATAAAATTCTCGATGGACCATTCCTCTTACGTGCCTACACTATTCCAAATATCATCCCTGTCCTTCAGTGTATCACTGTTCTCCCATTCTGGTATTCTCTGTTACCTCCTCTAGACCATTACAGAACAGGTCCCAGGATAGACATCCTGCAATTCAGCCTTCAGATAGTGTATGATGCATTAATCACTATCCTCTAACCTGACCATCCATTTCTTTAACTTATCTAGTCTTCCTGAAGTAGTAAATGACATTCTCTGCTCCCTGTCCTCTTGCACACATACCCAATCACATTATCATAGAAGCATTCAGATTGATCAGGCAAGATTTGCCCTTGGCAAAACCATGATGACTGCTCCCAATCACCATCTTTTACTTCATGTGCCCAAGAGTGTCTTCCAAGAGGTTTCGCTCCATGAATTTCCCACAGAGTAAAGTCAAGACAGACTGAATTTCCCCAGATTGTTTATTAGCCCTTCTGAAGATCAATGAAACACATTAGTTCTTCCAGTCATCAGGGCTCTCCTCTGATCTGTGCAACCTATCAAAGGTGATATAGGACAGTCTTGGAAGGACATCAGGCAGTTCCCTCAACAGACCTGGCTGCAACCCATTTGATCACATGGACTCGTGAGGGTTGAGTTCTCTTGACTAATCTATGACCAGATCCTCATTTATTGCTGGTCATTCTTCTTCTCCTTTAACTCTTTCACTAAGAGGAGAGGCCTGAAATATCTTGTCAGTGAAGCTCCTGTGTGTCTGCAGTCATTATGATGCCCACTCTGCTCAGCACTGAAGCCACATTTTCATTTTTCAGTCTTTTACTACTAGTGCAGCAGTAGAAGCTCTTGTTGCTGACTTTCTTTGCAAGTCTCAAACGCAGATGAACTTTTTCCTGACACCATCCATTTCTCCTGAGTATCAGGAGGGAATATTCTTGTGCTTGGAAAATGCTGTCTTTAAAGACCTGCCAGTTTTCTTGAGCCCCTTTACACTCCAGAGCTGCCTCTCATAGGATCCAACCTACCAGTTTCCTGAATAAGTTGAAATTTGATTGCCTGAAGTTCAGGGTCTGTAACTAGCTATTCCTCTTCTTGATTCCCTTTGGGACCCTCAATTTCACTATTTCAGAGTTGCCAGAGCCAAAACTGCCATTGATTATCATGTCTCAAACGGATCTGCCTCGCTTGTCAAAACATCATAAATCATAAGCATTTGCCTCAATAGCAATTAAAATAACTGATTTGCACCTTTACTATAGAGCACACACGAGAATCAGGGAATACACACCAGATCATCAGGACAATCAGCATGTAGACCAGCAACCTGTAAGTAATTGCCATCAGTTGTAAAATTATACCGAATGTGCTCTGGCAAAACATGTTGGTCAATCTTGTTGGGAAGGTGAGCTCCTGCCAGAAATTCATTGCATAAATCCAATATTCGGATGTTGAGGTTGACTGCCTTTTTACGCTGTAAGAAAAACAAAGCACAATACACCTAATATTTTCAAACATAGCACAATTACGCCTCATACCTTGTAAAATCTTGAAAAAATTTTGGCAGAAGTGGTGCACAAAGTAGTACATTAATGACTAGACCTGCAGCATCAACAAAATCCTAATGGAGGGCTGACGTCAACAGGAGAAAAATCAGACGCATGTGGATATATGTAATTTCATAGGGGATTTAATTTTGAAAGAAAATGTCTATATTTCTACAGTAAGAAATACGCACAAATGGCTATCTACTCAGTAAGTATAAAACTTATAAAACTATAACTTAATCTGATTGTCTTGTAAAACATTGAGGAGAAAAAAAGATCATCCTCAAGCTGGATAAATCCTACTAATACCCTAAATAAATTTAAGCAGATACAGAATTACAACATTCTTGTTACTGTTGTATTGTCCTATTTTCTGAAAACAGTAATGCACTTAAAATATTTTAACCTTTCCCTGAGAATTTGATAATTTAGGATCTTATTTCCATCATGCCAGTATTTCAGATGTTTAAGCTTACTGTAAATTCCTCATTTAATTCAGTGGGCTTGCTCATGTCAGTTAAGTATATTCTCCACCTTCTGTAGTCTGATAGCTCAAAAGAAAAGGCTGTCGTAACAGAAACAACGTACAGCTTGCAAGTGAAGAGAATGACAAAAACTGCAAATCTCAGTCTCTCCCACTCTTATCACTTGAGCACATTTTTGGTTTTATTATAAAAAGCAAAACGCTATAATAGAGAAAGCAATTAAGCAATTTTTTATAACAGAGAAAGAAAGTTTCAATTGCGATAGTGATGAGATTCTGCAGTCTGGAATGAGAAAAAAAAAAAAGAAACATTGAGTGGTAAGCAAGAGAAGATGAAAAAAATAGGCAGGGAAGGAAGAAGGAAACATGCAAGACATAAGGGGAAGAGAACCTGTAATTGGGAGGGGAGGAAGTAGCATAGAGCTAATAGAAACAGGAAGAAAGTGATGAATCAGAAATAAAGTCTGAAGTCCAAATTTTGTGCTATTTGTACAAAGCGATTGTAAGAAAAAGCATTCTAGAAGCATTCTCCAGGTTGCAAACCTGCAGGCTGCGTCACAGCAGTGCTCTTCAGAGTGACTTTATCACCTAAATCTAGTATGGTAAAAGAGCTTTTGTACAGATCTTGTTGGGTTAAATAAAATATTTGCCCTATGCAGACAACATGAGTTATGAACAGCACTCCACATAGCACCAATACCACAAACCAAAATGAAAGCTACTGATTTTGGCTAATCCATCACTAACTATCACAAAAAGGAGTCAAGGACTGTAAAGGAGGTTTCAAACCATGCCCAGACATTCAAAGGTGGCTGAAATTTGTAACTTCTAGTTATATAAGCACCGAAGGCATAGTCTGGACATATACTGGTCCTTTTGTAAAATACTTGAGTAGGCTGTCATCACTGTGCATGGGGTGCAACATTACCCTCTCTGTAAAAAGTTGTTCAGACAGCTATGCATTTATTTAAAATATCTGAGCCAGACACAAGCCAAAAGAAGTGGGTTCCCAGGTTAGCTAATAACTTTCCTGAACAATGAAAGGAGTTTTGAAGCCAAACTGGGAAACTAACTGACAATTAATATCTAAGATAATAGCAAAAAGTACATAAGCAATTTAAATAGACAAAATTAACCATATTTTGAGAAGTTGGAATTTTACTGAGTCAATGAGAATTTCAGAGGATGAATGGGCACAGAGTCATATGATTCATGTCATTATGAAAGACCAGATACCTCATTATCTGGTCTTTCATAATAAGGCAAACGTCTATTCACATATTGTAGTCAAAAATTACCTTTTCTTCATCCAAATGAATGCCACTGATCTCAAAATCAAACATAAAAAGTTCCGCCACTCGCCTAAAAATATAGTAAATCCCCGTTAAAACAGCCTCATTTCATAGCAAACACTTTCTTAACAGTTTTTGCCTTTAGCACTTACTCAGGTTTGACATCTTTTTTACACTCTATACCTTAGCTTGAGACAATTACTTATTCCAACCTTTCTATCAGTATATTCAGGATGGACATAGCCTTTTTATGTTTTACTCCGTCACAGGATAACTCAGTGAAATAGGATTTTTCCTTTGTTATCTGCATTGCAAATAACCTTGAAAATAATTCTGCCACATTAGCGTATATGTTTAACTAATTTATGCATATTACAATTTTAGCTTGATGCATCATTTATTCTAACAGATCAGAAAAAAAAGCCCTTCAGTTCTAACATCTTTGATTGTGGTTAAAGGAGGAAGAAGGAAGTAATTTACTCATAACACAGGCAAACATTAGGCATTAATCTAGTCTTACCATGTCAGGAAATAAATTATTCAAATCTCTAACTGAATAACTAGCAACTAAAATGTTCTACTGGAACCATAAACAAAGATTTAAATGAATACGCTGATTTCAGGAGATGAAAATTCACCTTGCAAGATCTCACAAGAAGAACAAATAAATAATTTTTTTTCTGTAGTAATGGTGATTATGAAATTTTCTAGTGCATTCTAGACTAAATCAGGAGTTACACCTGGTATTCTCAGAATGAATAAAAAAGCCCTCTCATTTCAGTTTGCATAAATAGAAATCAAATTATATAGTCTATTTCCTATTTTTCTTGTTAAATATTTACTTTGATATATATACCAGAGTATAACTAATTTTATCAAGCTGGCGTTCATTACAGAAAATTTGAGAGTCATTTTTTATTTTTGCAGATCTCAGTAATGTATCTTAAACTTACATCATGCTCTACAGTCAGAGACACATCTTCCAAGATTGCAAAACCATGAACTTCCTAACTCTTATACAGGTAATTTTGTAGTGACTAAGTTAAATCAGTAACAGACACCCAGTATGTTATGCAGTTTTATTAACCAATTTAACAAAACACAAGCAAAAATGCAATAAGGAGTGATTTGAATTAACTGAACATCTGAAGCATAAACATCATAGCATAGCATTACTAAGTACCTGGTTTCTGGGTCTAGGGAATCCATAACAACTTTGTCAGCCAGGAGCTGTCTCAAACTCTTGCACAGTTCAACATCTGTATTTAATCTGGAAAGATACAGAAAAAAAGAATCAAGCATTTGCATCAAACATTACTATTTCTGTCCCTTGGTATTACTAGCTCAAAGGCAGAGCTTGATATTTATTGAAACAATATTCTAAACTAAGAATAGTATTTTAAAAATGATTTATAGCTCAAAATCACACTTAAACTACAAAAATAATATACAAAGGATGTGCAGACAAACTAGAATGGAAGCAGGTCTTGAGTAGCAAAATACTTCTGGACAGAATTTTGTGAAAATATGAGCAATATTTTTCATGTACAATGAAAATCATGGTTAGTGCACAGGGGTGGGAGAACTGTTTTCTAATCCTTACTGTGAGGGAATTCCAATTCCATTAAAGGAAAGAGCAGAAGCAGAGTAAGATTGTACCCTCTCCAGAACACTTCCAGCTGTTCATCACTTCCCCCTGACCAGAGAATACTACTTCCATCACATTTCCTTTCACATTTCTTACAGACACCTATTTTGGCCTGGATTATTTGGTCTCATCCAGGGTAAGGAACTACACACTTGCACATACACCAGCAGATTTGGGGGACAGCATCCCCCAGCTTGGCAGCTCTGAGCACTAATTTCTTAAATCAGATGGGGAGCAGGAAGCTTCTGCATCCCCCTTTGTGAAATGTGCTCAGCTGCTACTAATATACAGTTCAGAGACAGAATGGAGGCGTCAGATCATGCAACAGAAAACGCCCTGTACGTGAGGTGGTAATTAAGAACATATGAACAAAAAGCATACTAGGTCACATTAAATGTCCCCCTGATCCAGCATCCTGTCAAGAAGTGTCAAGATGCTCACTGAAGTGAGTAAACCCAGGTAAACATACATAATATTGTCTCAAAAAATTTTAATTCTCCCTCAATTTATGACTCAGGGACATCGTGTATTTAGTAATCTTCAACCAGCCAGTCTTCCAAGAAATGCCTCTGGTTTTCCTTTTAACTCAGACTAGAAAAAGAAAAATGTAGCATATACAACACTTCCAAGAAGTCTCACGGTTTCATGAGACTGTGTATGACAAAGCACCTCTTTTCTTTGCTTTCAGTCTGTATTCCTTCATTTCTTTCCTGGGAAGATGCAATATACAACTGAATACTATCCCCCTTCATCAGATCTACTCATGATTCTACAGATTTCTTATATTATTCCTAGTCATCTCTTCTGCAAAATGCCAAAAAGTCTTACTATTAAACAAGAATAATTCCTGAGGGATACCATTAGCCCATGAAAAGGAACATTCAGCAACATCTAGTTCTGTACACATTTAGCAATTTATAAGTCTCAAAAAATCAGACTGAATTTCTGAATATTTTTCTTCTTTCAACAAATTGTTTATCTGAAGCAGCATTCAAATATTAAGTTCATTCTGCTACAGATGACATGTTCAACCTTAAAGTCTTGAAAAATCCAAGTGAAAGGCTTCCAAATGTGTGAGTAAAACCAAAGCAACTCTTAGTATTAGAATTCTTCCTTTCTTAGCCAGTCATTTTAGTCACAAAGCTTACCAGACATACTGGTCTACTGCTGTCCCCCATAGACGGGGGAAGGCTTCACTGTCTCTGCAACTTATTTTGGGACAGCTGGACCAGTCATTCCCTCTTCTCTTATTAGAAACCCTGAGAGAAGCAGCAGTCTGGGTCACCTTCAAACACTGCTGCTTGGCAAAGTTTTTACTGAAGAAGGCTATTCCTGAATGCCCTGAAAAGGGAAGGTACTGAAATTCTGAAAGGACACACTATTGAAAGAGTAAGGATCATCTCTTCCCACCTTCTCTGCAATCAAGAGGAGAAGGGAGGTAATTCAAGTCACTGATCAAGAGTATCAGAGGTAACTTTCAGGAAGAGATTTTGAGATTAAAAAAAAAACGTTCCGAACTTCAAGAACATCTTCTATGAAATGGAGTTTTAAAAGAGCACACACACATGCTAGGGTAGCTCAGCCATCTATCAGAGTCTTACATAGAAACTATTCAGAAACAGGAATAGAAACACTATTAGATAACACATTAGAAATGCTATTTAGTGGGAGACTGTCCTTTTCTTCTTTCACATATGCTGCTAATGAGCTGGAATTCAAGAGGTCAGTACACCAGGAAGAAAAAGCTTTGTGATTTATAAAGACTTCAATCGTAAAAACAAATTAGCAATATATGTCCTTTACAGCAGCAAATTAACTCTCGTGTCTTAAAAAACGTAACCCTGAGTCTTTGATGGGATTCGGCAACATAGGCTTAGCTGGTAACTTAAATTCTCTTCAAAATATAAATTGAAACCAAAATAAAATCATCTTTTATGAAATTCTGTAATGAAGCTAAATCTTTAAATACACATAGTAACTAGAGTAATATTTTGTTTTCACATGCCAATACTTCCTTTTTTTCTTTTTTGACTGCTACTATCATATATGAATAAAACAGCAATTTATAATTGTTGTACATGGTAATTGCGAAATAAAGAAGAAAACATACTTCTCTACCATGGTACCAATGTTCCTGCAAGCTTCTTCAGCAGCCTCTCTGAATGCACAGTCAGGATGGGCGATTTTCACAAAATCAGCCTAACATGGCAAAAGGAAGAATAGGACTGTGAGGTAAAAAGATAAATTTAATACCTTGTCTTATAAAGTGGAGTTTAAAATTATTCCACTTACGTTGACGCTTTTTCCTACACTTTTGTGTAATCTATAGGCACGACTTCTTTCTCAGAAATTAAGTTTATTGGGAAACTATGCTGACAACTTACAAATGTGGTGGTGAATGTTTTATGGTTTTTTCTAAAATAAATTTTATACATTCTGTGAAACTATTTTACTAAATGTGTATCTTACAGAAATGATCCTTCCAACACAGAAATGCTCTGATGTCCTTAAATATTGTTATAAAATATTTGAACTGTGAGGTTTAGTTGTTAAAATGAAAGCACAACACCAAATGCGTGTAAATTATGTAAAAAAGGTCGTTAGGCTTTGAGATCATTACTCAGTATAAAGAAATATGTTTAAAAAGAAAATACAGAAGTTCTTTTGGATTTGGAATAGGTTTTTTGCTTCACTCCTGTTGATACTGATTTTTAGAAGTCTCTGAAAACACAGTATAAAAACTTTGTTTTAGTTAAGAGATTGACAGATTAAAATGAGGAATTAATTGTAGTCCATATAAAAAAATATAGTAGGAGAGAAAGGGTGACTTGACAGAGTGTACAAATATTTTCATATGGAAAAAGTGCCTGGATCTGCAGTTTAGCAAAGGATAAGAAACAGTATTTGAAAATGAAAATCATACAGAGAAATACAGAAGTAGAACAAAAAAGACAAAATGTTCAAAGGACTATTAACAATTGAGGTGAAGGCTGGGACTGTTCTCTTCAAACGAAGAGTGATGCTTTTAAAAATATGTGCTTAGGACAAACAGTTTCTATAGAGCAATACTTGATAAAACTGAATGTCTTGTGATACACAGAATGTCAGACCACGTGTCCTAATTCAGTAAGCCTAGGAGATGCAAATGAATTGTTTTCTGTATTTATAAAAGATTATTCTATTTAACTTACCTGCTTTTAATCCTGAATTCTTTATTGATCATTCAGCCTCTGTAACTAACATCCATTCAGCTAGGAAGGCCTTTTTAATTTTCTGCCTTAATATATAATTCCACAGAGCTGATCCACAATTTATGGCAGTGCAGAAAAATCATAAAACAGAACAACATGGCATAAACTATTAAAATAAGCCAGTCAAAAAAGAAAGAATGCTTCAGGTAACAAAAAAATTACTTACCAAGTCAGCTACCCTGCATAAAGCATCTGAAAGCTGATCAAATATCATTACAATCTCAGGCCCAGGCGGTGTTGAACATGCCTTCTGCACCAGCTGCTCCGATTCCTGCAATGCTTTGTCCTGTGCTTCTTGAAATCCTTCTGGACAGCTCAGTTCTGGGACACCGAACAGACCCTGCAGTACAGAAACAGCATCTAAAAATCACAATCTGGACTTGAAAAGCTGCATATATGTTATTTTAGAATGCAACTTCTGCAATATTTTTGTATTATAGGTGTTGTTACTGGTTAGTTATTGGCATGTAAATTGCAAGTGTTTATCCAGATAAATTGAAAAGCTGTAAACTGACAGCTTATCTCCAAAATTATGCATTCTGAAGCAAAAGCATCAAACAAACAAAAAAACAGTATCTGGGATGAACTGTGTTGATTTTTCCCCGTTCTCTTTCTGTCAGTGTTGCAACAATTACCAGTCTTATCTAATGCTCTTAATATAAGCTGGCTACCCTAAGGTCCTTGGCTTGCATTTCTCATTCATTTGTTATGTGGGGACAGGAAGTAAACTGAAATGAAAACAACAGAGTAAAAAATTTTATATATGTGTGTGCATATATTTATGCGTGCATGTGTATATATATATAAGCATATATATATGTAAGTTATTGTGATCACACACACATTTATACATATATCATACTGCCTTCATTAATGCTAGCTATTTAAAGCACTCAGGCCTCTGTCCCTTTATTTTGCTTCATCCAGCTGAGGATCTTGGTTCCGAATAACCTCAGAGCTCCCGGCTTTCCTGCTGCCCCGCACCATCATTTGCCCTCCCAAGCAAGCTCCTCCTTGGCACACAGTTCTCTGATCAGGAAACTTCTCCTCTTGGAGGTTAATCAGTCATGGACTTCCTCCTCCATAGCTACTAGGTTTGTCATTAAAACTAAAAGAAGTCCAGTGCAGTTCTCTGTGTTCTTTAGCTGGCTTTAGCTGTTCTTTAACTTGCTGCACAGCGTTCCTCTCTGTGCTTGGCATCAACATTTACACCCTGAGACCAGGCAAACATGGGATATATGCCCCAGACCAAGCAAACACACAGTATTTATCCCTTTTTTTTTTTCCCCCCCTCCTGGAATAAGATCCCTGTCAGTATTGTCACAAAAGTGTGAGCGCATGAAAATAATATCCCAACAAATGGGTGGATTGTAAACAGGGGTCACATCTGTAGTCACTGAACCCCTTAGTCCCAGAGGTCAAGTGTGGCCAGTCTGGACACCATGGCAGGAACAACCATCAGAGGAGGTACTCGGGATCATACCGGTGTTGTAAGTAGACATCTTATTTGTGAGCTTCGCGCCATGAAAGGAAAGTGTATATTAAAGGACTTGTCCAGATTGACCAGCAGCAATTTGGTTTTACTGACAGGGCTCAGAAAACAGTCAGGGGCAGGATGGAAAACGGGGTTTGCTGGTAAAGCTTCACAGTGCCAACTTTACCAGTCGTAGAGCATCCACCATGTAATGTCTTTCAGAAGTGCTTGTCAGAAAACAATTACTCTAAAAGACTTAATGGCAAAAATGACCACATTTCTCTGCTCCCCTTGCCCTTAATTCCCAGTAAGATCCTCTCACACACAGAACTGCTACAAGGCTGCATTTGAGATGCCTGGTTTTAAAGTTACCGCGTGCAGTGACAAGCGGTCATGTTTCCTCTGGGCTCCCTCCTTTCCCACAAGGTTAGCGGTCAGAATAAAGGAGTAAAAAACTCCTTGGGGACCATGAGACTATATAGCCTGGCTAGTTACTAATAATCGTGCATGATTCCAAAAATCAAAACCAACGCCAATTTATCAGCAAAGTCCATCTCTGCACAGCTCACCCCTCAGGCACTATATATCTTTTAAGGATGTGACATGGCAGAAGTGCTTCGAAAACAGTAAGTTTATTACTTGCTAAAGAAAGAATCACCTGGACAACCGCAAGCCTCTAAACACAGGCCGCTGCCCGGTGAATGAGCAGGGCACAGCGGACACGACCTACCGAGGCGCAAATATGGGAAAATAAAGAAAAATAAATAAATAAATAAAATCTCACAGGCAACAAGCAAAGCGCGACCTTGCCGGCAGCCCAGGGCGCCCCTCCCCCTGCCCGTGACAGGGCGCGCGGCCGTTCAACGGCCGCCAACGGCCGCCCTGCGCGC